CTTATTTTGACCTGATAATAATTATATAATAAGCTCTGACCTTACTACTAAATGACACGTGATAACTAACTTGAACCTAAATGTAATCTGTGAAGACCTAACTTGGACCTATATGCAACCTGTAGTGAACTAACCTAGACCCTACATAACCTAATTGTAACTTATAACAACCCGACTTGGACCCTAATCAACCTAGGCCTGACTTATAACAACCTCTAGTGAATATAGTCTTATTAAAGCAGTGATACTTATTCTAATCGATAATTATTACTACATACGGATCTGAACTGTACAACTTACCATCAGGATTTATGCTTATAGCACTAGACTAAATTGGTCTAGATATATAAAAGCTCTCCCAAGTCATAATATAGTGCAGCACTATACTTAAGTTATATTATTGTCTTAATTAAGCTATATTCGTAAGAAGTTACTACGGGTTACATTTAAGTTACTTGAGATCTAAGTTAGATCACTACAAGTTATATTTAGGTTCAAGTTGATTACTTCATGCTATTTAGTAAGCAGGGACAAAGCCGACAGGTTACTTATTATTGTATTATTTAGGTGCTAACAACTACTTATTATTTGAGTCAAGTAAGAAATAGTTGCTTTACTTACTAGACAGGTATCCTATTTATACATTTTAATATACAAGAGTTTCAAATCTGGATCTGAAATTTTAAACCCAGATCTGGGGCTTTGAACCTGGATCTGGAGTTCCAAACCCAGATCCTAGATTTCAAACCTAACCCTAGGTTTCAAACCTATACACGTACTATTGGGGTGTCTAATGCATGTCAATTTACAAATATAGTGCAAAAAATCACTAGTTGGATTTTTTTATAATTAAAATTTTTAAGATCTGCATACAATATCAAAAACTATAGAAAAGTTGCCATCTTTCGTCCTTAATTCCTTCTGTAATATCAACTATTTTTTAGTTCTATAAGTACAAAATGTTTAATAAAAGGTGTCTTTACATAGTAATAACGTTAAAATTTTTATTTTACTAATTATAAAAGTATTTAATTCAACCACAGTTAGTTTATTAAAAAGTCATCTGACTGATTTTATTAATATTGTACAATATAACAATAAAATAAAAGTGAAAGAAAAAAATCTATTTTTTTATTTCTATGTATAAATACAGAAAGGTATTTACTATTCTATAATATTTAATTAAAAGTTCAAAAAATTTTATAATTTAAACTGTTTGTGTAATATAGCTTATAGATTTGTAGTTTTTTTGTTATGTCACCAGGTAAGAAAACTGCTAAGAATTTTATATGCTTTTACTTCTTTAGAACTCTCATTACTTTCTAATTGCTTAGTAACTTTAGGGCTACTAGTGCTTTGCCGAATGCTTCGCAACATGTTCTGAGAGATTTCTTGAAGTCTACTATCCAAACCCAAAAGTTGAATACGTGACTCTTGTAATTGAGTATTCATATTTTGGTGGACTTTCATATCATAACAATTGAACAATTTTTTTAATTGTTGCTGATGAACCACAATGCTTTATATCCGAAATTTAATAAATTCATAGATAAGGGGAAACTTTACCAGTTCTAATATATCAGAATTAGCAAATTTTTCAAATTCTTTAAAAAAGTCACATTGTGCTAATGCTTCTAATAATCTAAACGTATTTGAACATCTATTAAACAGGTCTTCTTTTAGAAGTTTGATATATGATATCTCTTTTAAAGTTGAAACTTTTAAAAAATTTTTATCAAAAAATATATTTAAAAAAGCACGAGCGAACTCGGGTCTATCCATACTATCTAATTGACAAATACTAAGAGATAAATAAATTCAGATTTCTATCCATTTAGTAAATCCATTTAGTGCATGTTCTATCTCAACACATAATGATACATAAAAATTTTAAAGTCTACCACATTCAACTCACATTCAGCATCAATTAATTTATTGCCAAATAATTGATGAATATTTTCTAAGTAATACTGAAGTTTTTGAATCCATACTATTATTTTATTAGGCATTTTGTGTGCATGATTACCCTGTGGAAGAGTATCTATATTATTTGGTTGGTGAATTTGTAAAATTAGATCGTAATCAGTCAAAAAACTATAAACAGCTCATAAAATTCCTGACCAAATTTAACAAGACATCATATTTGGAGATTAAGCTGCTTATCCATGAACTATTTAAGAAATATTTGCAATTTATTTAAATATGATTTTGGAATGTCTTTGGCATTTTCAAGTTGCTCAATAAAGAAATGTGCAAAGCAGATATGAACTTCATGTCAATCAAGATATTGTTTGGTGGTTTTGAGCTCATATAACCACTGTTGACAGATAGGCTGTTGATATTGACACATTTTAAAATTAAATAAAATTTTATAGAGTTTTTTTAATATTTTAGATTTTAGGTTTAATGGACTGTCTATATCTGAAAGGTTGTATCTGTCATAAAGATAAAAAGCAAGATTAATTAGATTTTATAGATGCTCTTTTAATAACAATCCTTTAATACCATCTAACTTTTCAAATATTTTATTTTCAAAATTTGTTAGGGCAATATGGGTTGCATGCAATCTGTAAGAAATTCGAAACAATTTAGATGCTTTTAGTATATTGAATTTAGCAATTGTATCATTGGCCTCTGAGGACATGTAAACTATATTATCTGTTAGCCAAAATGACATTTTTGGAGGTCAATTTCTTTTTGTTAGCAAGTTTCAAATATTGCAGCTAAGATAGTTTCGGCATTACAATGGATTAGATCTTTTACTTTTAATACCATAATTATGGGCTTTTCTTTAATATAATTTCAATATGAATGGCAAATAATTAACACCTTTGTTTCTCTACGTGTATTTTCATCAGCCATAATATCATAGCCAAAAATCTTGAAGTATCAACAGAGCAGTTTTGGGTGAAAGATAAGGCAGCTATTTCATTATTCTACTGTGCCAAGATTGATATTGTTATCTAATATTGTGGCATTTCATTAATTATAAATTGATAAATGGCTTTGGTATATTTGACTGTTGCATATATTGAGGTTCATCTAGTAGACAATTTCACAAATTTCGCATTGTATTTATTATTATTAACTCTAAATAATTTATTAATTTCTTGTTTAAATTAAGCAGGACGAACTTTATTTGCTTTGTGAATAGAAGCCTGAATTTTTGAAACTTGTTTTTTTTTAGATTGTTTGGCTCTTGCTACTTGCACTAAAAGTGATCGAGAAGACTTAAGTCTTTTTAAATGCCAATTTAAGTTTTTATTTTTTAATTCTAATGCACTGATAGTATAATTATTTTTATAAAAACTAGCATTTATAAACTCATACGTCTTTTTTTGTAAATAGATAGAAATTATTTCTTCTTTACGATCTCTTTGAGGATATGTCATCATTTGAAGAAGTGCAGATGCATTAAAAATTTGGTGATCAGGTAAATTTAAAAGATATATAAACATATCATTATGTCTTATTTGAAGGCAAGTGTTCATTTATCGAGATTTGATGATATTTTTTATCATATAATTAAAATCATCATCATCTAATTTTTCGAATATTGAAATTAGGTGATCAAGTAAGTTTTTTTGTTAATCATACTTTCGCAACATTCTGGCTTTTTTAAGTTGGCTATTTTTTGTATTTAACTAACCCATTATAGCTATAGTATTTATTATTTTGTGATAGTATACTTGTTAGCAAACACTTTAAGGTTTGGAATTTCGATTAATTCAATTATGTTAAATTAAATTTTGGGAATTTGAATATTTAAGAGTCAAAATGATTTTATTTTGAAGTTTGGAATTTGAAGCAATTTTTTGGTTAGAATGAAGTTTGAGATTTGAAAATTTAAATTTACTAATAATTGTAATGACACATCTTTAACCAATCTATAATAAGCTCTTGGCCCTTTTATAATATTTCACAAAATAAGTATTGTGAAAACATAGAAATCATGAATTATAATCACAATGATTTAAATAATAAGCAATTATTGATCTTATAATGCATATTTATAATAAAGTATATGGATGCTTTTATTTAATATTTTAGTATAAACTAATAATTTAAAAATTATTGCATCAATTCACTTATTATATCAAAATGTAATTTAATCAAAAACAAGTTGTTTATTATAAAAATATAAAGTACAATTATTTTATTAACAATAGCTATCTATATCAAATAAAATTTATCATGATTTGCAAAATAATGAAATCTTTTAATTATTCAATAACATCAAATGATCTTTTGAGAACAAGTCATGACTAATTTCTAAAATAATTGATTAGTTCATTGATGTAATAAAGCATTACAATCATAGTCAATTGTGAAGTGATTATCACTTGAATAATTAATAGTCTACAATCGTGATAATTAAAAAAAGAAATTTAAGATCTAAGAATGCTTTTCAACTCTTGAAATACAATCATTTTAATATATAGATAAAATTCTAACAAGCAATTATTAAATTCCTAAATTATTTTTCTTAATGTTCTACAATTATAAACATTAATTATACTATATATGATTACATACTATTCTAATGCAAAAACTTTTTTTCAATAATAATTTTTTTTCACAATACCTTCTGGAATTATATATTAATATGTAATTATAGAAAAATTTTATTGTTAATACAAATTCGAAAGACATACCATAATAATGATCTAAGGTTTTTTAAAAGATTGATATGCATTAATAGCTCTCTAAATAGTTAATGACTAAAATATAAAGCCAACAAGATCCAATAACAATTTCTATACTATAATACAAAAAATCTTTAATTATAAATTTCTAGTATTACTTTATTAAGATTTATTCATATTTCTACATTTGGATCAACAAGAAAAATCACGTTTTTATATTTGAAAGGATAGAATATAATACTTGTCTTGTAATATAGTATCATATTTTCTATATTTGTATCAACAAGAAAAATCACCAAAATAGCATGTTTCCATATTTAAAAGGATAGAATATAATAATTGTATTGTAATATCATATTTTCCATATTTGTACCAACAAGAAAGTCCTAAAAAGAACTAAATTAGCATTATTAAAATAATTAATAATAATTTTAAAAATTTAAACATAATTAATTTACCTATACAGTCTTTAGAATAAACCTATCAAGGCCTCTTGTTTGTGATAACTAGTTTTTAAACACACTGAGTTAAGGCGGCATCTACAATTTACATTAAACCATTATTGTCATAGGGATCTTAAAGATAATACAAATATAATGCTATATTAGTAGCAATGAAGTGAATAATCTGACATGTCTTGATTATCTTCAAAAGTCCATAAGCCCTAACTTTGAATACATAAGTTGTGCTGTATATACTATAAACCTCATAATTAAAGTAGGACAGACAAACTACCTAAGCCAAATTCTAAAAGTTAGACAATTTTGCAATAAATTAAAAGAATTATCTTTGATCTTGGAAGAGATAAAGATCATTTTTGCTCTTATAGACTGTCCTTTTCTCCACCCTATAGTTGATATCGATACATAGTAGAATTTCACCTATTTGATGCTTAAGTGGTTCATTCAAATTTGATCAATTATTGATAGCTTTATACAAATATATCCAAATATGAAAAGTGATTGCTTAGAAGTTAGTGATTGGACAATAATTGAAGAAATTGTTAAACTTTTTAAACTATTTTATGAGGCAAATTTAATCCTTTTGGGCACTTCACAACCCTCCTATAGTTCTATAAGATTAATTATTTTGGGTCTTTCAATGCATCTAAATCAATATATTTTCATTAATACACACTATGAAGCAGCCCGAAAAATGAAAAACAAATTTGGAGGAGTGTTGAACTATTTATCTTTCAAAATCCTCTATTATTCTTATTCTAATCGATCTATCGACTAAGTTCAAAACTTTTCATATAACGGACCAGGAAATAACTATTAATTAACTAAAACCCTTTATTCAACATATAGGCAAACAAAAATCTGTTAGATTTTTTTCAAAATCTTAAAAATGAAAACAAGGTCAAAGTAAAGACAAAGGAGTTAATAATCTATCTTTTTTTACTTCAAGAAGTAGGAATAAGTTCCTTATTGTAGTAAAAAGTCAACACCTCTTATTATCCAACCTTAGCTAATATTGTGTCAGATCACCTTGCTTTATAGGCTGTTTGTGTTTTTTGTAATAATATTTTTTCTGTTATAAAAAATACTGTAGATATTACTAGGAGTAGTATTCATAGAGAAATAGGCAGAATTTTTTTTATGCTTAAAAAGTTGGTTCGAAGTAGAAATTATCAAATAAAATAGATCTATTTTTTTATTTTATCATTATCTTGTATGATATTATAATAAAATCAGTCATATGACTTTTAAATAGACTAACTGCAGTTTGAATTAAAAATATTCATAATTAGTAAAATAAAATTCTAACATTGTTACTATGTAAAGACACCTTTTATTAAACATTTTGTGCTTATAGAACTAAAAAATGGTTGATATTACAGGAGGAATTAAGGATGAAAGATAGCAAATTTATAGTTTTTGATATTGCATGCAGATCTTAAAAATTTTAATTATAAAAAAATCGATTAATGATTTTCACTATATAACCTACACAATGCACTCTTTTCGCTGATCATCAAAACACAAAATTCGAAAAATAAAATTAATTAAAAAACTACAAAAACACACAAAGGCTATTAAGAAATCTAACTTGAAGCTCTAAGTAAAAAAGAAGAGAACTACAAGAAATACTCAGTCTCTTAGGAGACTTGAGTTAGAAAACTCGAAGTAGCAAAGAAATAGAAGAAGTTGTGAAAAATCGTCAATATTTTTTTGTACTTTGGAAAATTTTGGGAGATTGGCCTTGACCCTGAATTGTAGATCTATTTTAATAACACAAAAACACAACACGTAATGAAGAATAAACAAAAGAAACATAATAAAAACCATGTGATAAAAACAAACAACAATACTAAACAAACAACAACAACAACCAACAATAGTCGTAAAACAACAAGTCACGTAAAGCAAACTAGTAACAACAAAGAAACAACAAATTATATAGAATATTCAGTAAAAATCGATGGAAGAGAGCTTCAAGCAGTAGCCAATCTATAACCAAGAAACTATGAAGAAAGACAAGCATTTTTTCAGCAAGAACTAGCACGATTAACTGAGAAACAAAGAGCAATTATAATAGAACAAGCGATAGAAGCCTCAGTAACAGGTGTAATAAAGTTTATTACATTAGAAGAGGCGAAACCAAAGATAGAAGCTCTATATAAAGAATTACGACAATATAGAAAAGAAGAAATTCAGTACTCAGACCTTGCACTTAGTGAAAAAAAA